TGTCGCCGCTAAAGACTTTCCATCCTGAGGTGTTAACAGAAATATTGCAGCACGTGTAGATACACATGCGTTCGTCTGTCGACACGATTCTCTAACATTGTAGCGCTCATATAGGGAGACGCACTGCTGAGAGACACACCTAACGAATGAATATAAAGATATCACTTTGTATCCGGACACATGTAAAGAGAATATTAAAGTTTCAGATCGTATGTAAGCAAATTACATTTACTTCGCAGAAGCTTACGAAGACAGAGGTACACGTACGAACACACGTATACAAGGAGATTAGGCAAAGAAAGTGACAGTTATACACACGCACACATTATATATAGAGAGAGATACGTTTATGTATTTCAGTGTTAGTGGGAGATATGCATAGCAGAAGAGCCAATTCTGTGTGTGTGTGTGTGTGTGTGTGTGTGTGTGTGTATAAAATAGCAATTTTGCAACTTGGATTGAGGAATCGGAGAGTCGAGTTCGAATACCAGTCGAATCCTTACATTCACTTACGTGCTAATAACCTTGGGAAAGGTATGAATCCTCTTCTTTTCCCCCCGGCTATGGGTAAATAGCAGGACGGACTGGGTTCTCTAGCCTATGATGGCAACTGGTATACCGCGGAAAGAAATAGCAAACTACTGCGGGGAAAAAATCTTCCGCGTCAGTCATGTATCGAAAGATATATGATCGCCTACGCGTGTATCACTCATATACATATGTGAAAGAGTCTGTATTAAAGATATTCATATGAAAAATATACAGTTAAAAGCATACATCTAATCAAAAATATGTATCTATCTTCGATATATATATATATATATATATATATATATATACATACACACAGACAGGAGCAGGGTGAAATAAAATGCTTACAAACTCAACTCTATTGGGGCCCGTATACATACTATTGTAGCCTTGTACCATAGAGTTTTAGTCAAGTAAATACGTACACTTTAGTACATATATTTGTAAATAGAAAATACCTATCGATGTATCACAGTCGTTTCATAATATATCTTAGCCCTTTCATTATATATACATACCTATATATATATATATATATATATATACACCTGCCTTCTTACTAGATTTCATAGCAATCAACCGCAGACTATTCACATCTACCTAAATACCCGCACCCATATATTCACGAAAAAACAAACGTAACGTGGACTACAGTGTGAGAAATATGAATATATACAGATATGTAGATATTCCAAAAAATGTGTGTGTGTGTGTGTACGCTCACACACACACATGATACGTTATATGTCTTATGCCTTTTTGTAATTGTACGTTGTGTAACAGGTTACGAAGTCACGTCGTAGTCGAACTATGATTTAGATATAAAAGCATCATATAAGATACATATACGTTTATATTTGCGATCATGTTATTTCGTTCATGAACTTGTATCCTTTAAGCGTGAGAGATCAACTTAAATTTATTACACCGATTATCTCTGTCTCATATATATATATATGTATATATAGGCGGTGCGGAAACAGATAAAAAACGAATTGTGACAGTCTGTTTCATGCTTGAACGCAATTTCAGACTATCAAACATTGTCATCACATTCACCATTCATCGATGATATCTTTATTCATACTGCTATTATGTATATAACTCCATATGAGTTCTTGTTTGCAAATATATATATATATATATATATATATATATATATATATATATATATATGTGCGTGTGCGCGTGTATTTAGTATACCGTAAGTATTATACCAGTATAATATTGATATGTTTGCATAATCAATGCAATATCATTGTTTTTCATTAACGTCTACCTACTTTTGCGTACACTGTGTATATCTGAACAAAAAGACTTATTTAATTAAATAAGTGACTTTTGTAAATTCTCGTTAATCATAATATCAAACGTAAAATGCTCTACGGTTCTACTTAAATATTCAGTAAGTTAAATATATTGATTTATTAGTGAAAGCACGATAGGAATATATATTTCCTTTTTCTGAAGTTTTCATTGTTTTTTTATATATATATATATATATATATATATATATATATATATATTTTTGCGTGTGTGTGTATGCGGACTTTTCCATTATTGATTTAATAGTCTGAAAATTCTACACTTTTTCTTTATCATTTACGTTTCTACATGTCCAAGCGCATCAAAATGAGCAAAAATTTTTTTATATATATATATATATATATATATATATATAGATAGATAGATAGATAGATAGATAGATAGATAGATGTATGTATATAAATACACACAGACACACACACGAACACAGGTATTTCATTGAATAATATAGGCATAGTATGTATATTTATTTTTCTAATAATCCTTTTTAATTTATCTAATCAGTTTCTTGATGTTAACTTGAAATTCCACAAGGAAGGCGCCGTAGTTTTTTCTTACCCAAGTAGTTTCGATCTCCTTCGAGATCATTCTCAATGTTGAATTACAAAGACATACTTATTGTAAGAGTAATCGTTATGATGGT